GTTTGGAGTCGGGTTGCCTTTTTATCAATAGCTCATCTATCTGATACGTGATAAGGCGAGGCGAGGGCGGTAAATGGCTTTCAAACGTGCAGCCTGAATGTCTCCTTATCAAAAACGTTGGTGTAATTTTGCTCGGGCGTCGGGTTTCACGTGCAGAGATTAACGCGACAATCCCCTCATTAAACACAGATCGCTTTTATGAGCAACAGGAAGAGATCGAGCCGATAATAACAAAGAGGTTCTTCCATTAGAGGTTTAGATACAGCGCCGTTAAAGGGGACCTGACTTGAAAAAACATACTGTTTTTTTAACGTTACACACTCAGGGTTTGAATCCTGGTCCCAACAGGGTCTTTCTAAGTGGATTTTGTATGTTCGTGCCTGCGTAGGTTTCCTCCGGGTGCTCCGTTTTCCCCTGCACTATATAAATACACATTACGTACTTACTCACGTACTCAGGCTGTGAGCGATTTATTTATACGTGCACCTCACGGGCCATTGTTTTTTTCATTTCTGAAATGTTCTCACTGTGGGAGGAATAAAGGGTCTCAATCTGCTTTGTTAATAATAATAATAATAATTCAGAAGTACATAAAGTTTGTTGTTTACCGATGTATCTCCTGAACCCGTGATGCGTGGACGATTCTGCAGCAGTGAAAGGCAAAGACATATATTTATTTTTAAACATAGCAAAGGAAGGTTTCTCACCCATCATCTGTACTTCTCAACAGGTTTTTACCAACGTTTGTATTAATCCAAAGAACTTTTTCAAGGCATATTTTTAAACATATTTTGATTTTAAAGAATTGATCAAAATTAAAAACAGAATTTATGAATATGAGAATGTAACATGTGTCAATCTCCTTTTTTCGCACAATAACCAAACTGTTACACCGCCCATTACTTTGAAATTTGTATTGTGTTGTGTTGAGTTTGGTGAAGACGGTACAATACTTTGCGTAATGACAGAGAAACGAGCCGTGGAGCCGGGTTTAGGTGAGTGAAGCTTTTACCCTCAGAGTTTATATCGCAGCGTATTCTCCACTGTGACTTTGGAAGACTCATTTTGGAATTTTGTTTTGGCACATTCCGGTTTTCCCTGTGGTACAAAGCCGACACAGGTCCAAACAACATGGCAACCTTTCCCAGAGTTGTCCATGAAGCCCACTCTCTCACAACACTCACAGGAAAGTGAATATGCAGCAGAATCTCTAATTTATTTCAACCTCTGAATAATGTAAGAATTGAGAAACGAGCGCTGACCTCTCTTTGGCTTCACTAATTATCTGTGCGAGAGATGCTAATGTTTTTCACGAAACAGTAATTTGCAAAAAACAAACACTTCTTTTCTGTTTTTTTATCTGTGAAAATGTATTTATTGTTTCATTCCTAAAAAAAAATCAGGGAGCCGCAAAGTGGTCAAAGTGCCGTTCAGACGAAAACACTCCAGAAGACAGGAGCTAAACAAGTAGGAAACCAGGACTAAACCAGGACTAAAGCAGGACTAGGATTAAACCAGGACTAAACCAGGACTAAACCAGGACTAGGATTAAACCAGGAATAAACCAGGACTAAACCAGGACAAGGATTAAACAAGGACTAGGATTAAACCAGGACTGACAATGGGGCACACAGTGTGAACATTTGCCTCCAGCCTGAGTTCTAATCTTCCTGTCGCTGTAAACAAATGATGCTAACGTGTTCGCAGAAGCAGAAGGACTGAAATAATCTCATGGCGGAGCAGGTGCATATTCAAATATGGAATGTCATTTTCCCAGCCTTAATAAGTAAAGTATTATGCATGTGATTGTACAATGTGTTAAGAAGTCAGCATGAACAAAACTAGAAATAGCTGAATGCAGACATTACAAATGATCAAAGGATTCGTCATTATGTAATACGTTTGAAAACAGAGTATTTGGACCGAAAGGGTGAGGTGATGAGTTTTTGCCAGTTCAAGATCTTAGCGTGGATTCAGCAAAGAGTGTTTAGATTTTTAATCATGAGCCAAAAGGCAAAGCTCTCGATTTACCGGTCAATTTACCTCCCTCACCTATGGTCATGAGCTTTTGGGTAATGACTGAAAGAACGAGATCGCGGATACAATTGGTCAAAATGAACTTCCTCCGCAGAGTGGCTGGGCGCTCCCTTAGAGCTAAGGTGAGGAGCTCAGTCACACTGGAAGAGCTCGGAGTAGAGCCGCTGCTTCCCCACGTCGAGAGGAACCAGTTGCGGTGGCTCTGGAGGCCTCCTGGACGCCTCCTTGAGGAGAGCTGGAGGAAGTGTGTGTGGAGAGGTAAGTCTGGGTGTCTCTGCTTAGACTGCTGCCCCTGTGACCCGGCAACAGACGAAGCGGAAGAAAATGGATGGATGGATTTTAACGATATTAAAGCTGGGGTATCTATTTTTTCATGATTAAAAAAATAGTTTGCCCCAACAGAAACAAAGCCTAAAAGTAAAACTTTGTAAACCAGAACACAAACAGGCTGTCTTCATGTTAGAAAGAAGCCTCGCCTCTCAGAAAGAAGGTCCTGGGTTCAAATCCCGGTCGGAACAGGGTCTTTCTGAGTGGAGTTTGCATGTTCTCCCTGTGTCTGCGTAGGTTTCCTCCGGGTGCTCCGGTTTCCCCTGCCACTAAACACATGCTCACTAGGTTAAACCCTCCAGCTATGGTCCTGACCAAGCCGAGCATCAACATCTGGAGATGGGTTTGTGAAAGATCCCAGACGTAAGACAAAAGAGACTTCGACAAAACTGCAAAATAGAGTTTTATTATCAGAAGGTTTGAGCGTATTCTGATCAAGTACAACGCAGCTTCCCGTCATCCTAGTCTGGCTGGCAGAAGTCTGTCTGAACAGGCAAAGAGTGGCTGAATTTATGCACTGTAAATGATTATGTAAGCATTAGACTTTGGTAGATGACTATGCAGAAGAAAGCACTATGATATAACTATGTTTTCGTAATGGTCCAAACTCTAATGTACATTGAGATAGCACCATCTCATGCTATGCACATGTTCAGTGTTTGTTCTGTACAAACACCTTATCTGCTCCATGCCTTTGCAAGCAGTCCAAAGTACAGGTGTTATGTCTCTACTGAACTATTTAACATGATATTTTAAACAGCAAATAATTATTAAATATTCACAGTCCCTCTCTTGATCACATCCATACGGAAGCTCAGAACTGTCACTGTGGATAAAAAATATATTCAGGTTTGCTCGTTATAACGAAAATATTTTTACGTTATAACGTATTCATATTACGTTATAACGTATTCATATTACGTTTCAACGTATTCATATTACGTTTTAACGTATTCATATTAAGTTTTAACGAAAATATATTTACGTTTTAACGTATTCATAATACGTTTTAACGACTATTTATTTACGTTATAATGATATAAAAATACGTTTTAACGACTATTTATTTACGTTATAAAGAAAATATATTTACGTTTTAACGTATTTCCTGCTACGTCATGCGTCAGATCCACAACAAGCTCGACAGACGCAACAGGAGCTCTTGTAGCAAAACAAGTAAGTAGTTTGACTAAGTTATAAATACAAAGAAAGCTGGTAAAGAGGGAGTAAAGTTTGAGAGTATCTATTGACTGTGTTGATTAATAGATACGTATATTTGTATTACCTACATGTAATGCTGATACAGACGGAAAACCTACCCTAAGCTAGTTAACGTTAGCCAGCTAGTGTTATAATCTGTGATTTATAGTACACGTTAGCAAGTCAAACGTTTCATTAGGGCTGATTTATTTTATAAACTATAAATTAGTACTTCTTAAAAGTCACAATCTCCAGATTAATTTAAAAAGGGGTGTGTTACTAGCTGTAGTGACTCGAACTTACGTTTTCTCCATTGCCGAACTATGATCACACAGATGTGTTTCAATGTATCGCAATCATACAGTTCGCTTTTCTCCAATTACCTTTGAATGAAACTGTCCTGCTATCTCCAAGATTACGTTACTGGAACACACCTGTTGAACTGTGCACACAAGTTATTAACTACGCTACAGCTACAGTTTTCAGTTTGTCTAATATTATTATAGGTTTTGATTATTTATTAGTCTGATGTGTGAAAATTCATAATTGTTTAGATTGTATGCACGCATGTATATATCATATCTAACGTCTTCATCTGGTGGACAAACTTTATCTTAATTTTTTTTTTACTTGTTTTACAGAAGTTAAATCCGACCACTTGGACCTTTTCAAGAAAAACAGGTGTCAGGATGAACAATGAACAGGACCGGTTACATGACTTGATCAAGTCATACTTCTTTTTAGGGTTAAACCATAATGAAATACTGCTTTCACTTGGCAATATACATGGAATTATCATGAGCATACGGACATTAAGAAGAAAATTGTCAAGACTGAAGCTTTTTCGTAGAAAAAATCAAAGTGACCTGCTTGATATTGCATTATTTCTCATGGAACAATTGCAAACATATGGAAAACTTCAAGGATACAAATTGCAACACCTACGCTGCATACAAAAGGGATTCATTGTTACCCAGAACACTGTGAGACATTTACTTAGCATTCTAGACCCCCATGGTGTACAGCTTCGGAAGCGAAATCGCCTCAGACGACGCCGATATTGCAACCCTGGTCCAAACTACATGTGGCATGTTGACTCGTATGACAAGCTCAAGCCTTATGGTGTTTGCATTAATGGTGCGGTGGATGGCTTCTCACGGAAGATAATGTGGCTTCATGCATACACAACTAACAGCAATCCAAAATTCATAGCAGGATATTTTATAGCTGAAGTTAAGAAGAAAGGGGGGACAGCAGCAAGAATCCGTGCAGATAAAGGAACTGAAAATGGGGTAATGGAACACATGCAGCGTTTTTTGCGACTAGAACACAATGACTCTTTTGCTACAAACTGCTTCATCTATGGGGCCAGTACTCACAACCAACGGATGGAGAGCTGGTGGGCTTTTCTGAGAAAAAGTCATTGTCAATTTTGGATGAATTCCTTTGAGAAAATTAAAGATGCTGATGAGTTCACTGGTGACTTCCTGGATAAACAGTTGATTCTCTTCACCTGTCTGAATATTATTGAGGTTTGTATCAGTCATCACACTATGCAGTATTACTTGCAGGATGAAGAGAATGTTAGCTATGTGTATTATATTATTGATAACAAATAATTAAGTATATTTACTATGGCTGTCAAAGTTAACGCTTTAACTCATGCGATCAATCACAAAAAATGAATGCATTACCTGATGTCTTCCAATGCTTATGTTTAGGAGGCCTCCCTAACCAGTGCAGGGACACGCTGCTGTGTGTCACATTCACACACTTCTTGTAATACAGCTCCATTTCAATATAAAACTAATATAAAAAAAATACATTTTAACTCAAAATTGTATTTATCATATTTTTATTTATGTATTTGAAGTCTAAGACTTTGCACAGCGGTTAAATACTGACAGTAATATCACAGCACTATGCAATTAATCACATTTCAAAATCTGAATAAATGAATAAATTGACAGTCCTAATATTTACATAGACAAAAATAAAGCACCTGACCCGAGCTTCAACAAACAGCTCATAACAGCCTTAAACTATAACGATCTTGTCTTTTGCTCAAATAAATATATAGTAAATGTGCATTTCATGCAATTCATTTTCATGACCATGGAAAAAGTAATATTGTGCCAATTATAACTCAACAATTCTTTTTTTGTACATGTGCCTTTCAGGAAGAGCTTATTGCTCATCTATGGAACACCCACATCATTCGGAAAACCAGAAATGCAGTTGCTCCCTGTGGCCGGCCTCACATGATGTACACACTTCCACAGATTTTTGGTGGGCAAAATCATCTCAAACTTGTTTCGGAGCAACAAGTACAAACCTGTAAAGCACAATGCTTACAACGAGGGCCTTATTCCTGTGATGCAACTGTGTTCACGTTGTCCTGTCGACTAATGGCAGAAAACTTTCTGCATGCCCCATCTACACCTGATGAGGCAATTGAGCTCTACTTGTTTTTAAGAATGTGCATACGCAAAGATCTCTAACACAAGCTTCCCCAAGAGTACTTTGGGATGGACCCTTTGTCAACATTTTGTGATAGTCCAGTGTATTTAAAGCACCTGTTTGTAATGAACGCACACAATCTCTTTTTGAAATGGATAAGTAAAATAAAAATGCAGTGTAATTTCTGAAGAAATGTAACTGGTGATTTCTTTCATAAAATGTTTGTGCTCTTGAATATCACTATTTCTAATCTAATTTGTTGTTTTTTGTTAGTCCCATATGATCAATTTTCAGCTATCATTAAAAACAACTAATTTACAACAAAGATATAACAGAACTTGAAAAATATTGTTTTTATTGAACACCGAATTCAATGTATCCTTTTGTAAACAGTTTGCAGTTGCATTCTATAGCTTTTTATAATAGAAATGTTTCTTTAATAAAAACACAAAAAGAAACATAATTAACAACTCTTTTTTTCACACTTTTGTTTGATAGACACAAATACATGAATGTGAAAACTAGTTATAAACCCAAACTGTTTTAAGATTTAAAAAAAAGTGATCTGGATTTTATTACATAGATCCATGTTATTTCAAAGCTTTTAAGATTCAGCGAGTAACAGAAAAACATATCTGAACAATTAACATTAAAATGCAACTTGATGGAAAACCTCAATAATAACTACACTTGCAGTATGGAGCATGGTACAACTGAGAGCTTGAGACCATTATACAATGTCCATAACAAAGCAGCTATTGCTACTCAGGATGTGATCGAACTCAATGCGCAGCTCGGGGAAGGATATGTATGTCCAGGGCAACTCCAAAACAGGGCCACAAGTGTGTGCAACTGGCCTCCGAGCAAATCCATCTATTGATGTAAAAATGATTTCGATTTTATCCACACAGATCATGTCAGAGCCTGTAATAAATCGGAGACACTTTCTGAGGTCAGACTGATTAAGCCCTCTGATGTATTGTTGCAGAAAACGCAAAGACTGTTGCTCTGCTTGGGTAGAGGGGGAAGCATCCAGTAGTTTGAGGACTTTTCTGGTGGTGAGTTTTACCTTTTCATAGATTTGTTGGATGCTCTCCACTCCTTCTAATGCTTGTCTTAACTTAGGACCCACAACTTCAGACATTTTATCAAGCGCATACTTGGGCTGTTGAATTATCAGTTTATGAGCAATACTTAAAAGTGTAGTCTTTAAGTTGTTTTTGTTTGGGATTGTCTGGGCTCCCATGCGATCAAAAAAATCAACCATTTCTTCCTTCTCATCATTATCAAGATCTTCTTCTAAGGCCTTGTGTACCAGATCCCGATCTTCCTTACATAAATAAAAGAGAAATGACTCAAAGAGCAAATCAGGGTTGACAAACTTCTCTCCATATATTAGGGCTACAGTGAATGCCTGTGCCAACCTACAGGGGAAATAGCCATAGTCATGGTACCCTTTAATGAGAATTCGACCGATAGACTTCCATTCCTCCTCTTTCCACTTGGAGGAAAGGACAGGGACTCTCATTTCCTGACCTTCTGTTGCATAGTCATAGAATTCAGCCCAGAATGCTGAATAGACGTCCCGGGAGACCCCATCAGCATCTGCTCCTCTTTCGTCAATGTAAGAGAATTTTAGGGGATAATCTAGAAGTTTGGGGTCAGTAAATTGTGACATTAAGTCATCCAGGATCTTTGCTCTTCTAATTTTTATTTTGATATTGGTGACTTCACAAGCAAGATGAGAATTGACATTCGTTGGGGTGGATGTTTCACTAGGAAAACAGCTAGCACTCCATTGAGGGCTAGGAGTAAGGTCGCTTGAAGAATAATTATGGCTAAGAAACAAAACTTCAATGGGTGCAGAGTTAACCTCAGGGCCCTCCTCATCTGTTGCTAAAATAGGCAGAGTATCATTCAGTTGAAAACTATATGGTTCACCGACATTAGCCCCAATAATGACTTCAGAGGTACTGGATGAGTGTGACAAGTCCACATTTTGTTCTTCAACATGTTCTGCATTTCCATTGCTGTCTGTGACTTCAGTGTTGTAAGTGTTTTCCGTGTTTGTGGATTCTTTCGTTTTTGTGCAGAGGTAAAATCTCAGAATCCCCATCTTCAGAATAGAATAAAGGTCACCCACAGTGACATCTTCATCCAACACAGCATCTTCTTGAAAATCCAGAATGTCATAACTGACTTCCTCTAATTTTCCTTGTTTAGATACTCCTTTTGGAAAGAATAGATCCAATGCGATGCGTAAAATGTCAGTCTTTTTGGACTCCTTTGGCATGTCTAATTTTCTTGTGCCACCTCCACATTTCTTGCGTTGCTGCTTTCCCTCATGTATCCACCCCAGCTCAACTTTCCTTGTGGGTCTTGCAGCCATCTTATTGTTCTTTAGGTATGCTCTGGAAGATTTGTTAGAAGGACCAGGTTCTTCGTGATCCTCCTCTGAGGTCATATCAATGCCCATTTTTTTGCGGAGCTTTTGTAGCAGTGACTGCCTTTGCGCATTCTTCTCCCCTTTCCCTTGGTGCTCTAAACAAAATCTTCGTGTGGCAATCCTGTCCCCATAGATGGGAATGTAGGCAGCAAGCATCTCATCCTCCATAGATGCAATGACAGAGATGTCAATCTACAACAAAACATATGATTAGAAACATTGATAGAATAAAATATGATGAATTACCAGTGTTAAGTATGCACATGCAATTCAGGGCTCATTCACACCTCATCTTGCTAATTTTCTTAAACAATTTCTGTACAGCAAATTACATCGTTTCCCTCTCTACAGTAGATGGGTATCAACTCACGAGTGTAGTCTGTTACTAATGAGGTGTCCAGTTAATATAAGCCGCCGAGTTTGTATATGCTGTATGTGCTCTGTGTGTGAATGAAGTAAATGTGCGGCGGACACATTTGTTTTGATCCATCAGCTGTTGGAACAGCTCCAGGGGAGCGCATAACTAGCGCAGATTCGGAATACTACCTACGGAAATACATGTATGGGACTTGTTGTGTGGCATACCGGGGATCTGGGGAACAGCCTCAAATCCATGTTAGATATGGCATTATTATTATTATTAGTGTAAGAGATGAATCAATCTGGCAAATAAACTATACCTGGCAAATATACTACCTTGCATTAGCTACCTTACGCTAACGCTACCGTCTGATCAATTTGCACATTGCATTCACAACTGCCTAAACTAACTTTTAACTTACTTTGTCATCCCGTAATTTCACAATATATTGTTCCTCAATATTGCGGCTTCTCAGGAACGAAAACAGCGGCTCCATTCCTGTCTCCATCTTCCCTGACATCTCTATCATGTTTTGGAGTCTGGCGCTCTGGCGCGAAACAAAAGTAAACATTGCCTCGTCACAACGTAATAATAGTTCGTTAAAACTAAAATGTTTATATCGTTAGAACGTAAATAAATAGTCGTTAAAACGTATTTTTATATCGTTAGAACGTAAATAAATAGTCGTTAAAACGTATTATGAATACGTTAAAACGTAAATATATTTTTGTTAAAACGTAATATGAATACGTTAAAACGTAATATGAATACGTTATAACGTAAAAATATTTTCGTTATAACGAGCAAACCTGAATATATTTTTTATCCACAGTGACAGTTCTGAGCTTCCGTACATCCACATGTGATCACAAATCAATATTTAATGTAGAGGCAATGTATGCATTAAACTCATAATCATCAAATCAATATCAGTGGATTTTATCCTCTATCCTGAAAAAAAAAAACAAAACAAACAAAAACAAAGTAAATAAATAAACAAAAAAACAAATCAAAACAAATAAAAAAATAAAAACAAACAAAAACAAACTCTATTGGACACACAAGAACTCAGCAGATTCAGTCAAAACACAGACAAAAACGAGCTGAGTCTCAAATTTGAAGCTAATTTCACTTTTCTTACTCTATACTTTTATTCTAATGCTAATTATTTACACTTCACTTATTTCACTGTATTATTTTCACTATTCAATCTTACACTGTGTACTTTACTTTTACTATTCACTATAGTTTAAAACTATTCTAATCTATTTACAAATATGTTTGCATATTTGCTTCTATTGAGCCATATTCTTAAACATACATTTTAATCTAATAAATCTCTCTATTCTGTGGTTTACTTTCCTTATCAGTGGCACTTTATTATGTCAGTCAGTTTTCCAAATACATTTGTTGAACCAGGAAGTGCTGTCACTTCCTCCTATCAGGCAGTTTGGGATGATTGTACATCATTAATCAAATTAGTATTATCCTTACAAGAGCTAATCTATTTTAGCAGGTTTGGGGTTGGGGTCAGTTATTATTCTACAATGGTGTTTGATTCTCTAATCTGTGCTGGAAACTTCTCAATATCCAAATGTCTACTTTTTGTTTTTGTGCTATACCCAAATGCATCAAAATGCTTTTAAATGCTTTTGAATCTCTGTTGGTTCTAATCTATCTCATTGATCTAGGCATTAATCTAGACTGCACTCATATGGACTTTTTGTATTGTCAACATTCACAGATGTTTGAACACAAGTGAATTTGGCAAGTATCTAATAAAACTGTACATAAAACTGTAAGTAACTTTATCTACTTTTGAAGCAAAGGTTTGTGGAATGGTCTCTTTACCATTTGATATTACCAATGGCTAGAAATATTCTCTATTTTTGAAAGCATCTATGGTTGATGCATTTATCTATTCCTATTTTTACTCTATTGTGACTCTAAAGCTCAGTTGCAGCTTGAGCAAAGGCATATTCCTAGTTTGTAACTTCTGTCACTTATAATAGCTGTAACATAATTCTGATTCTAATATTTTAGCTGCTCTATCAGAAGGATAACATTGTATGATACTATTTTAACTCTTATGTGGAAATGTGTTTATGAACAACAAAGGAAGGACAATTCTACTTTTTTACTACTATTAAAACGCTACAATACTCATACTTTATCATTTTAAAACATTTTAACTGTTGCTTAGTCTCCCAGACTAAAAAGTCAAAGTTTTGTCTGTCTGATGTCTGAATACTTAACATTCATTGCATTTGTCACAGTTGTGGTTCTGGTTTGTAGCAATAGCATCGGCAATAGATGGTTTTTCATTGGCTGGTTCTTGTTCTGCAAATGGCTGTGTCCAATAGATCATCAGATGTCCAGAAGCTAGGGACAAACAAAAACAAAAGAAAGAATCATGAGTATCTCTCTCATTTAGCACTCATCAATGTATGATTTTAAAAATATAAACATCACTCCCCAGTTTTCTCTCTCAGATCCTCAGGTCCTCAGGTCCCCTGAGGGTGAGTCTCAGTCGTCATCAGGTCAGGTCATAGAGAGATGTCATCTTGGACATCAGTAGGGTCCAAGCCATGGTTTTGGTCTCTCCAGATGCACTCAGGTACTTGGGTTGCTCTGGTCTCTCCAGTTGGACATCAGGATCTCCAGATACAGTCTTTTCACTTGAAGCACATCAGGTCATTTGCGATGCACTTCTGGTCAATGGTGCAGTGTCACAGTTCCTGTACACAGCTTGTTATGCAATAGTTACTCTCTATTGTAAAGTCACTTTGATTCTAATCCTAATCAATGTAATTACTTCACACAGTACAAAATCAAAACATAAAAAGTGTCAGGACAAACGTCAATTAAGTCCATGACAATATAGAGTTCAAATGAACATTTCTGGTCTCAAAAAATACTGATTCAAATAAAGACTCAAGTGATAGACAAAAAATGTGTTTACATTGGAGTAAACTTTTAAAATGCTTTTTTCTCAGGTTCTGCTTTTTCATGTATCTATATGTAAATGTGAATGTGTGTGTGTGTAGATGTATGTGTGTATGTAGGGTGTGAATTTTGGGGTTGTCTCCAGACTCCTTGAACCACCTGCAGGTGTCAAAGGTCACACTGTGGTGATGTAAACCAACTGGACACACTTTCAACTCTCATTCAGGTCTCTCCCTGATGCTCCAACCATCACGTCTCCAGATACCTCTCTCTACCCCGGTCTCTCTGACACCCACTCAGTTCTGGTGTGGCGTGGGGAGGGGCAAGGAGGTGGCATTTTCCTTTGCTCTTTGATCTGTGACCTGTGGCTGGGTGGGCGTGACTGTCCAGTGTCCACTCCCTGCTGTCCAGTGACCCTGTACAGTGTGTGCCCCTGGAACACAACCTTATAGTCAAATTAAAAACAATAGATACAGTATCAGTATGTGAATGAGACTGTTTTTCTCTCTAATTCTAAACAATTTTGGAGCGCTCTTGGCTTTCCAAGCGCTATGTAAATATAGATTACTTATTATCTTACTACTGATGACATTTTTAAGACCAGAAACTCTCTTAATAAAAAACAAGACTCAAATCTCAAAAAACCTTTAAACTTTAAAATATGTAATATGTACTTTTGTACTGTGTGTTTTAATTATCTATGCGTTCTTGGGTTTCACTTTATGGACTTTCCCTTTTACACTTGAACATTTATCTCAGCATATATTCTACTAATTTAAAATAATTGCAGCATTTTCAAATTAAGTCAATATGAATTGGAGCACATTTTAGAGCCAGTCTCCTCTGCTGTGTGCATCAGCAGCAGGAGCAACAAGGTCAGGCGTGTAGTCAAAACAAAAACAAAAGTCACCACTTGAATGTGAATTGGGTGAATTGGGTACAGTTCAACTTAATAATACTAATTCCCTCTTTCTTTTTTAGACGAAGTCTATAATCAATAATAACTTTTAACACAGATTCCAATTTAAATGTTTGAAAAACGGCTTTTGTAACTAAAATAAAAACATAAAAACAAACACAACTCACAAAAAGTTAAGAAATAAGCAGCAGATTTAAAAAGAATGGAATCTAGAAATATGTTAGATCTAAAAAGAATTGCACAGCTTTAGCACTAATCTTTGGGTTTCAAAAACATACTAATTCAAAACTTCTTTTTACTAAATGGTGTTTAAAAACGTTTAACTGTGTCATAACACAATGTTCAATGGCAAATTTCGCAAATTTAACGGAAAAACAACTATGAAAAGCCAAAATCCTAAAAGCAGTAGCTCCCCTTTAAATCAGAGCAGAAGCAGCGCAGCGAGGGCGGGGGGTTCCTTTCACACAGACGCACACACACACAGGCAGAAAGTAGTGTTTTAGAAAAAATGCAAAAACAGAAAGAAGAAGAACTTTC